CACAAAAGCAATCAAGAGTTTCAGAGATTAGGCACATTTTAAATACCTTATCCAGGAACATTAATAATAATCTATCAATTTCTGATTGGGACTTAGAAGAAGAAAGACTGGCAACTTAGTGAGATGGCACATGTTCTACAAACAAGGGAAAAGGACAGAAGTGCATTTGGGGATTTTAAGCTACACATACACAACTTATTTTTAAAATCATAAAAATTTACATTTTTGCAAGTAATAAGGTGAAAGTAAAGTGAATTTACATATAGTTTTCAAGTGCAAACTTCCAAAATGTTATCTTTAATAAGCTCTACCAAAATCACAAAACAGAATATCATTCAGTATTTCATATTTCTATGTTGCACTTATATTTTAGGTCACTTAAAAGATCAATATAATGGATTGCATATTAGATAATATCAAAGATTGCTGTTAATTTTGTTAGGCGTAATAACCGCATTGTGGTTATTATATAAGAAAAAGTCTATGTTTTTCAGGAATGTGTACTAAAATACGTTAAGAATAGATAAATTTGCTTTAAATACCTTAGCAAAGAAAAAGAAAGAAATAGAGATAGATGATAAGGTGAAATCTTCACAATTATTGGCTCTCAATTAGGAAATGACAAAGTAGCCAGCAGCTTATTATACGGCTTAACTAAGAATGGCTTTTTCTAACAAATTGTAAAAACAACAAAGACTATACAACAAAACCAAATACTGCCCTGAAGCCTAAAATATTTTGCTAATCCCTGTTCTGAATCATGGGCATAAAAGGCTTTGTTGCACTATCTGTTCTACTTTTGTGTATGTTAGAATTTTTTCATAATGAAAGATTTTAAAATATCAATCTCATTCCACAGTAAAGATTTTAAAATATTAATCTCATTCCCCAAAAATGCTTTAACAGAAACAAAACAATTTCTCACAATTTCCTGAACATTCAAAATACACTTTTAAACAATGAATAATGATTCTCATTCAAAAGATACTGAGTACATTATGTACTAGGCATTGTTCTAGGGCCAGGAGATATAGATATTATTTTGTCTGAATAAGCCAGATGAAATTCCTTGCCTTCACATAATTTTGACATTGTTATGCTTACTTTTCTTATTTTAATCACAAATGTTCTATCTTCCTCCCCCATTATAGTCAAATACATTACTGTGTTCTGACATTAAAAACTAAACACTCATAAGTACATTTGTTTTCACTGTAAATTTAAAATGAATCAATCAACATAAAAGTTAGATTAATAAATATTTTTAAGCTAATAATTAGACAATACTTACTGGGGATCCAAAGTTATGTCCAACTTCATGAGCAAAAGTAATGTGAGAGACTTTGGGAGGTACATGAGACCCATAGTTCTGAACAGTAATAATTCCAGTGTTTAAGGACTTCTTCTTACCATCTGAATAGAGTTTACTTTTTTCACATATTCCTCCAGAGCTTCCTAATTCAGAACAAAAAAAATGGCTAAATTAGTATCTATTTTCCCTTACCCCCTAAAAAGGTAATATATCCTGTATTAAATGAAAACAGTTTATATTTTCAATCTAAAATATAGTTGTTACTCAAACATATGAAATACTCAAAAGTTTCTTTGGTCCAAAACTAAGAAGTCACTTCAAATAAAAGTTTTAATGACCCTCATAAAGAAACTCCCAGGACTGAGTACACAGCCTTTACAAAATGTTCTTCATAATCAAAATGTCCCCAAATCTTTGTTCCCATTAAGAAAACAAATATTTACATTTCCTTTCAATTTGAATATATCAATATTTACAGAGTCAAAGTGTACACTTTCACCTTTTAAAAAGAAATCTTACGACTTAAGTCAAATGGAAATTGCACAAAATATCCTCAAGAAGATTCTGAGAAAGTCACTTCTGCAGAAAGCAGTGACGCACATGAGTACGATTCCCTGTCCTGAGATGTAACATATGATGTATTTGAAAAGAAGAAAATAATTATGTCAAGAAGGCTTTAAAATGTATTTTGTCAAATTAAATACCCATTTGAAATAAAATGGCTCAGAGTAATAGGAGTGAAGGGGAACAACCGAAACTTAATTTAAAAAAAAAAAAAATAGAAAAGAATAAAAAAAAAAAAAAAAAAAAAAAGAGGGGGTGGAGGAAAGAAGGAAGGAGAGAAGGTAGGTGCAAAGGAAGAAAGAGATAGAAAGCATATGTGGCAAAAGGTTAATAATTAATCTATCAAGAATTCACCACTGCTGAGCGCAGTAGCTCACACCTATAATCCCAGCACTTTCGGAGGCCAAGACAAGCGGATCACTTGAGGTCAGGAGTTTGAGACCAGCCCAGCCAACATACTGAAACCCCATCTCTACTAAAAATACAAAATTAGCCGGGCGTGGTGGTGTATGCCTGTAATCCCAGCTACTCAGGCAGGAGAATGTCTGAACCCGGGAGGCAGAAGCTGCAGTGCTGGGCGACACAGTGAGACTGTGTCTGAAACAAACAAACAAAAAAGAATTCACTGTACTATTCTTGCAACCTTTCCACAGGCTTGAAAATTTCAAAATAAATGTAAAAACTGAATTATGATTATTCCAATATGTCTTTAGGACACTCTCAAATTTTAAAAGAAAAATCATATTTCTACTTATACTAAATATTTTTCCTTTCTTTTTTTTTTTTTTGAGACGGAGTTTCACTCTTATTACCCAGGCTGGAGTGCAATGGCGCGATCTCGGCTCACCGCAATCTCCGCCTCCTGGGTTCAGGCAATTCTCCTGCCTCAGCCTCCTGAGTAGCCAGGACTACAGGCACGCGCCACCATGCCCAGCTGATTTTTTTGTATTTTTAGTAGAGATGGGGTTTCACCATGTTGACCAGGATGGTCTCGATCTCTTGTGATCCACCCGCCTCGGCCTCCCAAAGTGCTGGGATTACAGGCTTGAGCCACCGCGCCCGGCCTATACTAAATATTTTTATCATTTTGTAGTTCATCTGTTCATGAATAGGAACTTTAGAATTTAATAGCAAAAGACAGTGCTTTCACAGCTAAAATCAATTATAAGAAATCAGAAAAAGAACAATAGGAAAATCAGAAACCATCTGGTCAATTCATGCCTTTATATTATAGACACTACACTGATAAGATCATGCTTTCTTTTAATTAACTTTATCATAAGATTTTCAGTGAGAAGTTATTTAGTTTATATTCATACTTAAAAGTTTTCCCTATTTGATTTTTAAAAGAAATACAATCAAATGGATCAGCGTATTATGGTAACTGCTCAAATTAGCTTTCTATACATAAGTTACAACAAAGTTACTAAATCATTAAAAAAAGGTCTAATATTGCTTCTCCTCCCCTTCCCACTCTCCCCGCTTCAAAAACAAGCCTAATATTTAGAATCCCTAATAAAGCATATAATAAAAAGCAATTCAAAACAGCTCTGGAAGAACAGCATGATACTATGACTGTTGCCTTGCTCCCATTAAATACAAGAAAATATATAGCAACAAAACGCAAATTTGAATTAGTTACTACATAATTCAGAAAGCTGAAATGAATAATGCGCTTCAAAGAAAAGTAAACTAAAAGACTGAGCCACATGCAAATTTAACCCATTAAGGGGTTGAGAACCTTTATGATATTCAAAATTAACTACCTTTTCTACATTGACAACTGAATAGAGAGAAAATATCAAATAATCTGTGAATATTTAATCTATTTTCTTAAGCTAGTTCTACTTCTGGAGCTGAGTCCTGAGGATCACATCATTATTGCTAGAAACCAGAAAAGATATAATTAAGTATTTTACATATAATAATTATTGTACACACGGCATAGTTTTAAACAAATAGTAAGTTAATACCATGCCTTAGTAAAGATTTGTCATGTGCAAATTGGTCCGGTGCAGTACTGTCAAACTTGAATTAAGCGTAGGAGACTCCACACTTCAAATCATTACCAGTTAAAAAAAAAAAAAAAAAAGTAAATAGGCATATTTTTAAATATCTGATCATATAAATTTTTCTGTACTTTTAGGGTCTGGCTAATTTAAGAGAAGAGTATACATAAAGTTGAATATACTCTTCTGAAATAATCTTTGTAATTTATATATTGCCTAACTTATTAAACAACTGCTTTTGGGCTTTATGATTATTGCTTATATGGAAGTATGGCCAGCCGCTGTCTCACGCCTGTAATCCCAACACACTGGGAGGCCAAGGCAAGCGGATCACCTGAGATCAGGAGTTGGAAACCAGCATGGCCAACATATTGAAACCTGTCTCTACTAAAAATACAAAAATTAGCCAGGTGAGGTGGTGCATGCCTGTAATCCCAGCTACTTAGGAGGCTGAGGCAGGGGAATCACTTGAACCTGGGAGGCAGAGGTAGCAGTGCGTGAAGATCATGCCACTGCACTCCCGCCTGGGCAACAGATGGAGACTCTGTCTCAAAAAAAAAAAAAAAAAAAAAAGGTTTAACATTTATTACAGACTAACAGCATATGTTGGAGAAGCTTGATTATACAGGAAGAAATAAAATACTACTTGTAATTCTATAAGTTACAGCTTAATTTTTTAAATACTGCAACTAGTTTTGATATGCCAGAAAACTCAGATATCGTATATACCACACCTAAACCATTAACTCAAACTCAACTACTATATTTTAAATTTAAGATTTTATTACACAGATATTCATCACTGACAAATTTAAGTTGTGAATAACAATGAGAAGAGTGAAATGTTTTAAATTCAGGTCAAAAGCATTTACTGATGAATAAGCCAACAAGCACAACGGCAACTTTCTATCTATGGGATAGTTTGAGAGCTAAAGTCACAGAGTAGCTGTCCTAAACTTCAAAACAGGCCCACCCCACCCTACCCCACCTCTACCCCAAAAAAGTGTTAGAAAAAAATATAAGAGTAATATAACATCTTAACAGATTCCATAAATACAGTTTTGATGTGAGAAGGCCAAAAATCAATAGTGACATGCTGATCATACAATATTAATATGAGCAATAATTCTGGACCAGACCATAGCACTACTCCCAGAAGTGTTGCAAGGAAATGTGAGAGGGTAGTTATTTGGCTTTCAAGTCTGGAGGGCACTACTCACATGTAATGGGTAGGGGTCAAAGATGTTAGACATCCAAGGGGTCCAAACAAGCACAAAATGAGCATAGCAAGTGTCCTATTGCAATATTCTAATGATGTAATTCTCCCAGCATTTCATATTATACTTTTAAACTATGAGTTAAGAACTCAATGAGCTGTGGGTTATCCTGAGAACTCTGTGTTAAGCTCTGTATGCTCTCAAATTTTAATATGTAATATCAAACTAAAACATCTAATCTAAAAAACACAAAAGAGACTATTTCTACTAAATGAAATGTCTCAAAAAATGTTCTTCACAAATAGAGGAGCACTGAAGGTTTCAGGACTAACTATAGAGATGAATTCCAAAGCCAGCCTTACTCAATGACCAGGCTGAACTGAGACTATGTTCATTCAGTTAACCAATAAGACCTATAGGTAGAAACAGGAAGTCTGAAAGAAAGAGCAAAGACAGAACTACAATGAAAAATAAACAACCAGAAGCAAAAAGATTTTCCTGAATTTACAGACAGAGAACAGACAAGAACCCTTTCTCCCAGCTCTCAATCCATTGCTCTTCCTATTATGCCATGACAATTTTTCAAAATTATATCAAAATATTACAGCTTAGTATGATTTTATAACTCTTCTCTCTCAAGAAAGAAAACCAATTCCACTATATAACCTCTACTAAGAAGCAGAAGACATTTCAGTTTCTTATTTGAAACATCTGAGAAAAGGCTAGGATGTTAGTGTGTGTATGTGTCTATGTGTGTGTATATATATATATTATTTATATATATATATATACATATATATATAAAAAATACCTAGTAATATAATTACCAAATGAACTAAATCTGGACTCAAAAGGTCTAGATTCTAGATCTTGTTCCACCTCTAGCTGTGTGATATTAGGTTGTTAACAAAGTTTCTGAAGACAAGTTTCCTCATCTGTAGAAGGGAGACAATGATACCTACACCTCATAAGAGTACTGAAATAATTAAGACTAAATATATAACATCCGTTGTTTTTTCAAAACTCAGTTCAGCTAGTAGTAAGGGCAAAGAGAAGTGAAGAAGAAAGCTGGCAGTTTGGCCGGGCGCGGTGGCTCAAGCCTGTAATCCCAGCACTTTGGGAGGCCGAGGCGGGTGGATCACAAGGTCAAGAGATCGAGACCATCCTGGTCAACATGGTGAAACCCCGTCTCT